CCGTTGAATCAAAATGAATTCTATCTTACCTACAGTACCTGCATCTAATTATCTCTCACATATCAGTAAATTGGCATCTTTTCATAAACTGCTCTTGTCCTATAATTACTGACACCAATACGATATTCATAACAAGTAATAACTGAATCTGAAAAGATGGAAGTCACTGAACAGGTCCATGGATATTATTATACATTGGTCGGGGCCACAGAATGAAAAAGGTTGAGGACCACTACCTTAAAATCTGCAGATAGATGGTCAACAATGTTTAATTCCGAACAGTCCGCCAGTGGCTTAGGTAAGTCGCTGGTATACCCCTAAAGATACACAATGCGGGCAAGCGAGGTACAAGGGAGAAGCACTACAGACCTTTTGAAAGCACAGGGGCATATTTTCCTTGGAGGCGATCCCCCCCCCTTTCCTGAAATCCTGGTTATGCACTTGTAATAGAATAATGGTCACGATGCCTATTATGATAACAATTTTGACAGTGATGCTAATCCTGATGATGTTGATAACGATAATGATGATAACATTGGTGATAATAATAGCAATAATAACAATAATGTTCATGATAATGATAATGGCAATAATATTAATGATAATGACAATAAATGACAAAAATAACAATGAAAAAAATATAAAAACAATAATAAAGATGATAACAATAATGGTAATGATAATAATAATGGCATTAATAATAATAATCATAACAATAGATAGAATAATAATAAAGATGATAATAGCTGCCTCAATAAAATAAAAAAACAATAAAAGAATAACAAATATGGTAATGAGAATAATGTAACAAGAATAGGATAATGATTATGATGATAATAACAATCATGATAATAATAAGAATTACAAGTTTATCATCGTTTAAGAAATAATGATAACATGTATTACAACAATAACAATAAGAGAACTACTGTTGTTGCTACTACTACTATTAGACCACACCAATCCTATTTGTTGCTTCTCGGATTTTTTCAGACCGAGCGAGAAAAAGGCAAAAAGTCTGAGGGTGAAGAAATAAGGCTTACAGGACATTAAGAATAACAAGATTAATAAAGTTTTCAGCTTTTCAGGGTACGTTTTATGTAATGCATCCCGTCCTTTGATCTACGAGTATTAATACAATTCCGAATAAAGAACATTGTTTTTGGCTGAATTTACGTGTGCTGCATTTACTACTATCATTGCGATTTTAAGTTAATAAGTCAGTAACATAAAAAAAAACAGCCAACCGAACCCAAAAAACAAAAATCCGTACAACAAAAGTTTGCTGTATCGGGTCCCTTTCTACTGGCATTTTTGTCCTGGCATTCGCTTTACAAAAAAAAAAAAAAAAAAAAAAAAAAAAAAAAAAAAAAAAAGACATCTGCTCCACCGTCGACTTGCTCTATAAACTACTCTAAACTAAACTACACACAGTTTAAAACTATAAGTTTAGTTTAGTTAGTTCTTGTATTTAGAGTGGCAAACGCCAGCACACAACAATACCTTCTAAGGCGCTATATTGTTTTGAAAAATAAGACGCTTCCGGATTGGTTGTCTTCTAGCATGTGACTACTAAAAAGCTCTCTGATTGGTTTCCGGCAGTATGTGCTTCTGAAAGTGACTATTTACAGGTTTGCAAAAGCAAAACCTGTAGTGGTTTCTGGTCCTTTTTTTCAAAATGCTAAATACTGAGGCGGCGAATCCGAGGGGCATCAAATACAATTGGTGTGGCCCTGCTATATTTACACTAATATAGGTATTTCTGCTAATATACTGATATTACTGCAATTCTTACTACTACTAGAACACCATAAAAAAAAAAATTATTCTCAGTTATATGGCCAAGAGTAATTATCTACCTATTTGGCTCTTTCTTACTCAATGTGAGAATCTCAACAGAAAATAATATCAACCAAAGGTGAAAAACAGTAATTTTGGTTCTCATAATATCATTAGTAACCGTGATAACACCAAAGACGTCAATGGAGACGATAATTAATTCAGCGCACTAAGGTTTAAAACGAGCACTCGGGCACTCAGATATGCCAAACTGCGCAGTTAGATCAACTAGTTTAATCTGGTTATTATTTCGCGGAACTGTGTTTTTTCAAGAACCAAACACGTCGAAAGGAGACACAGGACAGATCTTTGCTCCGAGGAAAGTTCGGCCCGAAGATAATCCAAAAATAGGACCTGAAACTGGTAAAGATGGGAGAGATATTAAACACCGTCCCAAAAGGAGTTAAAATATGTGGTGGTAACGATGCTGATGCTAATGCTTATGATGATAATGCAAATACTATATGATAATATATTGCTACAAATATAGCAATACTAATAATATATGGCAATATAATGATACAAATAATAGAAACGATAACTGATACTATAATGGAATTTGTTTTCGTACTGCAGCATTTTTTCTGCAATATATTGAAGAATTCATAATGATTTGAGGTCTAGAAACGAAATATTAAAATAAAGCTTAAATTGAATATATATGACAGGAATACATCTGAATATTGCATAATACTATTAGGGCTTTTGTAGTACCAGAAGTTTTAAAAATACTAGAGTTTCAGAAACAGACACCATAACTACAGTTCTTCCGGGTCGAGCTGTTATCAGCAATGGGTATTATTTGTAATTCATCCATTTTAGCAGAATTCTTGATCTCTGTCGTGTCTGACAAATTCATTAGATGCTGCAACATCCTTGTAATTCTTAACATCGTCAAGCAAATTAAAATTATGTAAGAGTCATATTTTTCAGCCTCATCACCGGCTAAGCAGGTTCGTCTTGTATACATAATAAAGAAGGGGAACTCTCAACATAGAAGAGGATCTGCCCACTTTCTCGGCCAATCAGCGCAGACACGTCCCACCTTCTCAGCCAATGAGAGGTGGAAAAATATTCAAGGATTAGCCAACCACGAAAAAGTCACGCCACGCCAAGAGCCAATGGAAACGTAGTATGTTCCGTCAGTCAGTGACTGCTATGACGACAGTCTCCTGGGAACATGCCACAGTGCAAACTTCTGGCCCAGTGCCTCTGTTTAATTCCTATTTTTAGAACTGTCAGAGATCTTGAGATACATTTGGCATGAATTACGGCGAGCCGTGTGAGGTGTGTCACGTCGGTTGTAAACAAAGAGCGTGAAAAAACAAATCAGAGAATAACTAACAAAGAGAGTTGGCTGGGGTGGGGGTAGAACGACAGAAAATAAACTATAGTACACAGTTCCCCAACTGTATGTACGCATTTACTTTAAATTATTATTACTTTAAATCATTGTTTCTAGATTAAAACAAAAATTCTGTTTACTAAATAAAACAACAGAGATAATGGAAGAAGCTCAAACATGCACATTTATCAGAGTTATCCCTGGTGTGTTTCAAATTATGTAATGTTATCACTACCCTTCCCTTCACAAATGATAATAATACCTAAACTTTCACCCTTGACAAGTATCACACA